GTTGTCTTGATTTCCAAATAAACAAGCCAATACCAAAGGTAAAAAATGATATATAAAAAAGAAAGAACCAAGAACATGTACGTTTGCCGAAAATAATCGTCTAGCATGCAAGTCTAAAGCCCAAAGAAATAAACCCCGATGCAAGTACGCAAAATAACTAAATAAAGTGCTCAGTACAGTGAGTTGAGCAGACTTAGTTAAACCTAGAGAGCCAGACAAAACTACCAAGGTTTCACCTAAGCGTATCGTCAGGGAAGGCCGGCTAACAAGGTAAAAAAAGAGAAAGGAATATATAGTCAATAAATAAAAAAAACATAACCACATGACCAAACAAAAGAAATAAATAAAAAAAAAACAACGGAGAGGTTTGAGGAGTACCATTTATTCTAATATTGACGAAAGAGAGAGGGGGTTTAAAGAGAAACACGGATAAGCAGGGGTGGAACTATTTATTCAAATCATTTATTCAAAAAAAAAATATAATAATAATAAGTGTAAAAATTTGTTTTTTAATTTTTAATTTTTTTTAATATTTGAATAAATGGTTTGAATAATAAAGTTCCAAAAATTTGTTTTTTTTTTACCCCTTTTTTTAGTCAATATTTGAATAAATGGTTTGAATCCCTCCCTCTTTGTTTGTCTGTTTGTTTTTTTTTTTTTTTAGTCACGTGGTTATTTTTTTTTTTTTTTTTTATTGACTATATTCCGTTTTTTTACCTTATTAACCAGCCTTTCCTGATGATCCAGTGAAACCTTGGTAGGTTTGTCTGGTTTCAAAAACTCTATATATATATATATATATATATATATATATATATATATGTGTGTGTGTGTGTGTGTGTGTGTGTATCCAAATAAAGAGAAAGAACACTCAGGTTTAGAAAACACATTTCTTTAACATTTTTTTTAAAAAAGTGCTCGATACGATACAACATAGAGCATATTATAATTTACTACTTTTCCGAACATAAATCTGCTCCATTTTCATGCGATGTTGGGTAACTTTTGATGAAAAAAAACATCTCCTGGAGGTTAGCGTTTTTTCTTTGTTTTTTTTTTTTCAACAAATGTTAACCAGCATCGCATGATAAAGGAACAGATTTAAGTTCCGAAACGTAGACATTTCCGTGTAACGATGTAAAATACTTCTTAAATAAAAACATTATAATATATATATATATATATATATATATATATATATATATATATATATATATATATAAAAAAATTTCTCAGAGTTAACCTGTAGAAAAAGACAATATGTATAAAAAGGTAAAAGACAATAGGAAATTATTAGCCGATGCGTTTCGTCGATTGTGAACTTTCTCAAGGCAAAAAAGGAATGAATTTATTGGAAACAAAGTAATTATTAACAAGTAACAATACGTCCTTAGCAACTAGAATTTAGTAAACGCTACTCTATTCATATAGTAATTTTCAATTGACAATATGAATACAATAGCTTTTTCTAAATTCTTCTAGTTGCTAAGGACATTTTATTTGTTATTAATAGTTACTTTGTTTTCAATAAATTCCTTTAGTTTTGCCTCCAAAATCCACATTGGATGAAACGCGACTTTCAACAATAACAACAGCTAAAATGGATATCACATATAACTCAAGGAGAAAATAATGACATAAACCTGATGTTGATATTCCACACTACTCCAAATAAAATGTTAGGGAGGAAACTCCCGTCAGTACTGGAAAGTGCTATAACAGCTACTGGATTTAAGAAACCTATTTCCATGACAAAATTGTTTTTAGGGAAAGATTTTATAAATTTCAACTGACAGTAATGCAAGATGATCGGTCAATGAATGCCGAACGTTTCCTGTGAATCAAACGGCGCGTGTGTACTGTTAATATAGTACGCATGCGCAACTGAGCAAACGTTTCCTTACGCCATGAATATAGACAATTATGAAGAAAATAGAAGGAGAAATCAAGGGCCGGTGTTTGAAGGACTACAAAGAGTGAAAAAATGATCTGCAAAAAAGAAAATAAAATCAAAATTCTGAAAAATACACTTACGCCCAAGTGTTCTCACGCACGAATGAATATTCATACAGTCATATACATTTGTAAACATACGAACGATTTCCACGTGCGAAATTAACTATACGAACGCGCTTTTCGTAGTTACGCAAATCGCAACAATTAAGAAGATTTTTGAACGGCGACAAAAGCGAAAGTGAAAGTAGGGAATGGCGGGAAAATGTTGTTTTTTCTTGATTTCATTACAGCAACTTTATCATCGATTTTTCCTTTACTTTTTTTTTACCAGGTTTATTTATTTATTTTTTATTTATTGTTTTTGTTTTACATGAATTACTTCTAACTGCAACGTGAAAATATCTCAAAAAGAAAAAAGAAAGCGAATTAATGTAATGTTTCCAACCTTCCGTTGTACGTTGCTTTGTCCCGTTTCAAAAAGAGAAGAATTGAAATCAGCAGCTAAAAACAAGGGGAGAAATGAGAATAAAAAAAAAAAAAAACAAATGAGAATAAAAAAAAAAAACAAAAACACAAAGAAAGCGGCAAAGAATAAAATGAAAATATTACGAAGAAATATCAGTAAACAAACAGAGCCACACCATCTGGAAGAGGCAAACGACTTCGAAGTAATACCTAATGAATTATCAAAAGGGAGGTGAGATCTATGTATTTTTTGTTTGTTCTTTTTTTGTTTTCTTTTTTTTTTTTTTTTGAAGTGGCCGACATAATGAGAATAGGGACCCAAACAAAAAACATAACAATTCGTGTCCAGAATAAAAAAAAAAAAAATAAAAAGAACAAAATACCGCGAAAATAGAAGAATGGACATTTGAGTTAAAGCAAATAATAAAGAGGTGAGGAGATTACTACCGATTGAAAGAAATAAAAGGCATTATAAAAGGAGAAATGAATCAAACAATAGGAAGAGAGAGAGACAGACAAAGGAAAAGAGAGAGAAGACAAAAGAAAGAGAAAAAAGTGAAAAGAACAGATATAGTTGGAAAGAGAGAGGGAGTAAAAGAGAAAGAAAGAGAGGAGGAGTTAGAGAAAGAAATTAGGAAAGAAAAAGGAAATGGATAAATAGGAAAAGTGAGAAAGATAGCGAGGGAAAAAACAAGAAAAAAGAGATTAGATTAGGTACACAGTTAGTGGGAGGGGAGAGAGAAAGAGAGTAAGTGGAGAGGAGATTAAAAAGAGAAGGAGAAAGCGAGGAAAACAAAGAGTTAGAAGGGACACGAAAGAGAGGAAATGAGAGAGGGGTAGATAAGAGAAAGTAGGAGAGAGAAATGGTTAAAATAAAAGAAAGAAAGAAAGAAAGAAACAAAGAAACAAAGAAACAAAGAGTGGAAAGGAGAGAGAAGACAAAAGAAAGAGAAATGCAGGAAAGTAGTTTGTTAGAATTGAGAGAGAGAGAGAGAGTGAGAGAGAGAGTAAAGCGAAATAAAGAGATATGGAAATAGAGAAAGTAATGAGAAAGAAAAAGGGAATGGATAAATAGGGAAAAGAGAGAGAAAAGAGTAAGAGAAAGAGAGGGTGCAAGAAAGCCAGAAATTTAGTGGGACGAAAGAGAGAAGTTGAGGAGGAGAAAGAAAGAAAAACAGAATGGAGAGTGGGGAGAGAGTAAACAAGCGAGGAAATGAGCGAGAGAGAGAGAGGTGGGGTAGATAAGAGAAGAATAGGAGAAAGAAATAGAAGGGAAAAGACAGTAAAATATTAAGAGAGAGCAGAGAGATGAATGGGGAAGAGAGAGTGAAATAAACAAAGACAGTTGGAAGGAAGAATGGAGGCGAGAAAGATACGAAAGGACGGGGAAACATGAAAGAGGGGGAAGGACAAAGAAGTGAAATGTGAGAGAGAGGGATAAGAACGAGAGGAAATAAGAGATATATAGAGAGAAAAACAGGGAATAAAAAGAGAAGCGAGTGAAAAGAAAATGGAAAGGGAGACAAATATATAGAAGAAGGTAAAATAAATTTGGGAAGAGAGAGACAAAATAAGTGGGAAGCGAGAGAGAGAGAGAGAAGGAGATAAAAACGAGAGAGAGAGAGTGCACGAAAAAAGACGAGGAAGAGGGATAAGAACAGCAATAGTTGCACAGGGTAGAGAAAACGAGTACGTGAGAGCGGTAGAGAGAGGTAATGAGCGGTTTGGAGGAGAAAAATGGAAGTCGAAAAAGGAAAAGCTAGAGAGAGACAGAAAAGTAAGAGAGAGAGAGGGGGGGATAAAGTGAAGGAAAAAGGTGAGAGTATAAAGAGAATAAAGGAAAGAGAGAGGGAAGACAAAGGAAACGGGAAAACGGGGAACGGGTAGAGTAACTTGGAATGGAGAGAAAATGGAAGAGAGAAAGACAGGAAATGAGAGGGTGTCGTAGTAAAAGTGAATGTAGGAGAGATAAAAGAGGGCAGAAAAGGGTGGACAGAGAGAGAGAAAGAGAAAAAGCAAAGTTAGATAAAGAGAGGGGAGAGATGAAATTAGAGAAAACAGAAAAGAGATGGATAGGGAGAAAGTTAGTGCGAAGGAAAGGAGAGAAGAGGAAAGGAGAAAGAATACAATTAGTGAAAGTTAGAGTAAATGAGAGCGATAGTGTAAGAGAAATATAATAAGAGAGAGAATGGAAAGGAGAGAGAGAGAGAGAGTGTAAAGTAGATTGAAAAGGAAAGCGATAGTAGAGAGAAGAGAGAACGAGGGAAAAACAGAAGGAAATAGAAGCGGAAAAAGAGACAGATAGAGAAAGAGTAAGAGGGAGTAGGAAATGAGAGAGACGGAGCTGAAAAGAGAGATTGAGAGTAAAGGAAAGAGAAATGGGAAAGAAAAGGAGGGAGTATTGGTGAAAAAAAGGGTGAAGTCGGAAGAGTGGTAAGGAATTGAGATAGTGTGAAGGGAATGAGTGAGAAGGAAAGAGAAGTGAAGCATAGTGGAAGAGAGAATGAAAGAAGTGCAAGAGGGAAAGATAAAGAGAAAGAAGGTGAGTGGTAGAGGCAGTGAGAAGGGGGAATGAAAATTCAAAGAAAAAAAGTTGGTGAAAGGAAGAAGAAGAACAAGAAAAAAGAAAAGAAAAAAATTAAGAAGAAAAGAAGAAGAAGAAAAGAAGAAGAAGAAGAAGAAGAAGAAAAAAAGAGGAAAGAAAAGTAGTAGATGAAGAAGAAAAAAGAACAAGGAAAAAGAAAGAAAAAAGAAAAAGGAGAAAAGAAAAAGGAAGAAGAACAAGAAAAGACGAAAAAGAAAAAAGTAAAAAAAGAAAAGAAAAAGAAAAGACGAAGAAATGAAGAAGAAAAGAAAAAGAAAAGGAAAAGAAGAACAAAAAATTGATGAAGAAGAAAGGAAGAAGAACAAGAAAAGAAGAAAAAAAGAAGATAAAGAAGATAATTAAATCGGAGTTGGGAAGAATGGCGTGAAAAAAATAAAATCAGGATCGAGCCTGAATCAACTGAGTTAAAAAAAAAAAAGATTTTAAAAGAGGAAGAAAGGCAAAATTGAAGATATTGAGGAATTTCAAAATAAGTGTCGAAAAATAAGTGTGGAGAATAAAATAAGACAGTGGACTAGAATAAAAAGAAAGAAAGAAAGAAAGAAAGAATGCGAAGTGAAAAGACGAGAAGAAGGAGAGGGAATGAATTAGGAGAACGAGGAAGAGAAGAGAAGGAGAGAGACTAAAAGATAAATAATAAGTATTCGTTGTTGTTGTTGTTGTTGTTGTTGATGATGATGATGATGATGATGATGATGATGATGATGATGATGATTGCAAAAGGAAAAAATAAACAAAAGGAATAATAACTATAAAGAAGAAAAAAAAGAAAGATTGAAAAAAGATCAATGGAAGAAAAGAAATATTTAAAAAAAGAAGAGGATGAATCACGGAAAAGATGGTGATGGTAATGATGCTACTGCTAGTGCTGATGCTGATGATGACCAGAGAAGAAGAAGAAAAGAAATAAACTAATTTACTTGATTAAAGAAGATGAAGAAAGTGATAGCAAATAAAAGGCGAGAACTAAAGAAATAAAGAAAAAGTGAAAGAAAGAAAGAAAGAAAGAAAGAAAATCACGTACAGAAATAAAAGGGAAAGAAAAGGCGTAATACTTTCCTAAAGAGAATAAAGAAAGAAAAAAAGAAAAAAAGAAAGAAAGACAATCAAAGGTGGAGTGTGAAAGAGAGGAGGAACAATAAACAATAAATGGCGAAATGATGAGAACAAAAAAGGAAGAAACATTGAATGAGAAAGGAATGAAAATGAAGAAATATGTCAGCATAGCAAACGAAATCAAAATGATATGAGGAGGTAAAGAAACGAGTTGGATAGAGAAAAGGAGAGGAGGAGGGATTTAAGTGAAGGAAGAAAAGATGCGATGTGGACAACAGAAGGACAATGGAAGGTAGAGAGAAAACGAAAGACAAAGAGATGAATAGATAATGGGCAGTAATGAAAGAGAGAAAAGCAATGAAAGAAAAGAGAGGCGCAGAGGAAGGAAATAAAGGAATGAAAAACATTTTGAATAAAAGAATGGATTTGAACACAAAAGAGAGAAATGGATAATGAAAAGAGAGGAAAAAGTGACTTGGTCCGAAGAAAGAAAGAAAGAAAGAAAGAAAGAAAGAAAGAAAGAAAGAAAGAAAGAAAGAAAGTGCAAATGAATGAAAGAAGAGAATTAAGCAGGGAGAGAAAACAAAGAACGAGAAAATCCAAAAGAGTAGCGAGGTAAACAAGAGAAAGAAAGAAAGAAAGAAAGAAAGAAAGAAAGAAAGAAAGAAAGAAAGAAAGAGGGAATGAAAGAGAGAGAGAATAAAAGAAAGAAAGAGGGATAAAGAAATGGAATATAAGAAAGTAAGAAAAAAAAGAAAGAAAGAGAGAATGAAAGAAAGAAAGAGAGAGAGAAAAAATGGAAGAAAGTAAGAAAGAAAGAATGAAAGAAAGAGAGAGAGAAAGAAAAAAGAAAGAAAGAAAGAAAAAGAAGGAAAGGTAGAAAAATGAAAGAAAGAGAGAGAATATGAGAAAGAAAGAAAGGAAGAAAAATAAAATGAATGAAAGGATCGAGGTAAGCAGTAGAGAAATAAACGAGGAAAAGAAATGAAAGACGATTTGTTTAGATGAATGAGTTGAATGAATGAAGAAAAAGAATGAAAGAATGGAGTTGCGCAGAGAAATGTGAAAAAAAAAACTGAAGTAAAAGAATGAAAAAAGATTTGGGAAAAGGAGGTCGAGAAAGAAATGAAGAAAAGCGGAAAGAGGATTGAAAAAAAAGGAATGAAGGAAACGAAAGAAAGAAGAGATTTGGGAAGAAAGGAACCGAGAAAAGGAAAGAGAGTAAAAATGGCAGGAGGAGAGCGAGAAAAAATTTAAGAAAGGGAAGGAAAGAAAAATATGCGAAGAGGAAAGAGAGAATGGAATAAAGAAAATTTGAGAGAAGCAAGTTGACTCTAAGAAAGAGGGAAAGGTATTTAAAAAGAAAACGGATGAAAGCCGCAAGTTTGAAAGAGAGAGAAAAGAAAGAAACAAACAAAGAAAAAAGATTAAAAGAAACGAATTGAGCAGAAAAAGAGAAAGAAATTGAAATAAAAAAAAAAACTCAAAATCAGATGCAACAGAAGCGAAATATACTGCGGAAGAAATGAAAGTAATTAAAAAAAATGGATGAAAGAGGCCAATTGGACAAGGAAAGTAAGGATTGAAGCGAATTAATGAAACAAAAAAACTCAGCCTAAAACGGAAGGAAAGGAACGAATAAAAGATAAAAACGATTACAGTGAATGAAGAAAGAAACGAACAGACTTTAGCGTATTTTTATATGAACTTCGTATTTAAATACGCATTCTCAGTGTGATCGCCATTAGCAACAAAAGAGCCGTTATGGTCTGCTGAAAGTAGAACGAAAATCTTAAATGAAAAGGATAAATTATGAATCGAAGACAAACTCCGAACATCAAGTCTTGTGCGTAATTTTAGTCGAAAAGGAGTTTCAGTTTTTTCATACAACACTCTATATAAACACCGGTTTAATCGTTATCATTATTGCTATATTGTTTTGCTTGTTATTCCAAACATTACCAGTGTTCTCATTATCATCACGTATTTAAACATTATTGCACCCTTCATACTCAACGTTGCCCTAGACTACGTCAAATGACACAAATCAAAGTGGTCTTTAACCTAACTGAGGAGGCCAAACATATTACTGTTTGCCATCATTTTATTTTCATTTTTCAAGTGTCGACTGGCCTCCTCTGTACGTGCTGTCAAAGCAAAGCTAATCAAGGGTGATTACTCACAGACATTACTATTGATTTGAACGGAAAAGTTTTTAAAGCAAACTCTTTATGTATCCTTATTTCGTTAACGCGCGTTTCTTAGGCCTAAAATCTCGTCCTTTCCGAGAGTTGATCGGAAGATCACGTTGTTTGCTAATCACGTACACCCTGCACTTCTCTTTGAATCTCGCGATATTTCGTTTTCTTTTATTGTTAGAGATTGTTATTTTAGTTTTTTTTTCTTAGGAGCCATCTTTTTAATGATGGAATTAGATTAACGTACTTATGAAAATATCGTGTTTTTTTTTTTTTGGTAAAAAAAGAAAAAAAGTGACTATTGTCTTCCTAACTAGGGGGAAACTGTCTAAAGGTTTTACTTGATATATTTTATTCAAAGAGAGTAGTGAAGAAAACAACCCCGCTCTTTCGAGCAGAAGCAACTAAATCATTAAATCTGTAACCTTGATATTACTATTAATTGAATATCGGTATACAATAAATATAACGGTTTTCAGCGTTAAACTTGAACAAGTCTAATAAAGATTCATAAGCTTCTGCTTAGTGTTGTTATTATATTACGTAAATAAAAGAAAATATTTTAAGCCACACACACGTGTATATATATATATATATATATATATATATATATATATATATATATATATATATGAGATACCTCTGAGATGAGGTATTATGTACATTATTTACATTATTCGGACTATTGCCCTCATCTTTGTCGCCATATTTATCACAACGTTTCGGTCGTTGTACGCTCTGGCCTTTTTCAGGTGGTTGGAATGTCGAACTGAGCACTTTATTTCGCTCATTGGGGTAAACTGTTCTAGTTCCACTTGCCATGTTTAATGGATGTCAATTATCAGTCATCTCTTTAATTTCCCTCAAAGACACATAGCACAGTCGATAAAGGCGTTGGTCAGATCCAGTCACAGGACCCAAAGGGTGTGAAGTCAATACCCGGTTAAGGCAGTGGAGAACTTTTAGAGGGAAATTAAAGCGATTTGTATATTAAATATTAATGTGAATAAATCATATAAATGTTTATGTTTCTATGCATATATATATATATATATATATATATATATATATATATATATATATATATATATAGTAATGTAATGAAGGGGTTGGTAATCCCTGTGGATAATTCAAAGAATATGTAATCCAGAGAGCTCAATGTAACACCAAAGCAAATAATAATTAAGAAAGAGACAACCGTAAGATTCCATGACTATAATTTATTTCCTCAGAAATCAGGTCTCATCTTTAGTTAGGTAACCAGGAAAATATATTTTCTGGGGAAATAAATTATAGTCATGGAAACTTAAGTTTGTCTCTTTCTTAATTATTTAAAATATATATATATATATATATATATATATATATATATATATATATATATATATATATATATATATATATATATAGGTATAGGATGTATACAGAAGAAATTCCAATAACCAACAATTACTATGCTTAAAATAGTGCTCAATACAGAGTAGAGTAATTATACACACACACACACACACACACACACACACACACACACACACACACACACATATATATATAATTATTTAAAAATATGATTCCAAATCGCTACATAAGAGGTCTCATGTTTCAAAACAAGAGCCGAAAACTACAATATAATCCTTTAAATTAAATTGAGTTTAAATTAAAATGGGCTCCGTTCCATCTTCAAGCGAAATTTTTGTTGGAATAACGTATATCTGAAATTTACTTGTTTTAAAAATTGAAATCAAAATCCCCATGGTAACAGCTAGGGCGAATTGTTTAAATTGGGTAGGCGAGTGTAGGGTGTTAATAATAAGTAGCGGTATAGAGATACTTTCAAGATGTCAAGTCGGGGAAAGGTGGGGGTGTCTAAAATGAAACGGAAGATGTGTTAACCTTCGTCTAGTTTGCTTGTCTATGGAGATTTATTTATTTATTTTATTTTATTTTATTATGAAAGGGAATGATTGGGCTATTTGTTAAACAAGTTATATAAATTATCTAATAGTTCAAACCAAAAATCTGATGAAACCTACAAAAAACCGTTAACTCGTGTCTATTATTTAATAGATTATTATTATTTAGAAGTTTAATAATGTGCAATTTTTCATGGAGGCACAAAGGGCATGGGTCATCCCAAGCTTTACATGTTCTAGCCTTGTCAATAATTTTCCATTTAACTTTTGGTGTCCTATTTGTTTCCTTCAGGTGCCAAAAATATTTTGATAGTGAAGTCTGATTTCTTTTGTTTATATTATTAAAGGAGCACTTATGCTGCCTCCATCTATCTTTAAAATTATTCTTCGTGGACCCAATGTATATCATATTAGTGCTAGGGCTCTCTGTGGATGAAATAGTGCATTGGTATACCACAGAATTAATACAACATTTATTTTCTAATGGGCAGTCTTCTAGGTTTCTACAGTTACATAATTTTTCCGTTTTATCGTCTGATTTAAGTGCTGAGTTTTTATTAATACTGTTTTGGCATGGTTTTTTTTTCAAGATCTTATTATTGTGGTTTTTTATTATACGTTCAAGATTATCAGAGCAGCTGTAACTCAATTTTAGGGTGTTCTTATTGAATATATTACTAAGCTTGCTATTGGTGGGGAAGTGTTTATCAATTAGAGCTAAGAATTTCTGTCCTAGTTTAATACTAACCCTTTGGTTGAACGGAGGGGTGCACCAAATGATATTTCTTTTCCTGTTTTTTTTTTTTTTTTTTTACCTATGGCCAGTGTAATTTTCTCTATAGTTAATGTTAGCATTATTATAACCACTATTTTTTAGGGCAGTGTTATAGAAGCCATTGTGTTGTTGGAATATTTCCTTGTTTGCGGAGTTAATGCTAATTCTATTTTCTATTGATGAGGGTATATGTTTAATTATTGATGGAGGATGGTTTGACTTCTGGTGTATGTATAAAGGGTTAGCATTTGGTTTTCTATAAGGTTGGTATGTGTTGCCTGGTAAGTCTAGATTTACGTCGAGGAAGTTAACCCTTTTCAAATTAGAAGAGACAGTTATCTTTAAGTTTAGTTTCTTAAATTCACTAAATATAATTTTTCTGATTTTTTCAATCTTAAAACTAGTAGAACTCCTCACCACCATGAGCCCGTCATCTCTATACAGCCCGATGTCCTTAATATCAATTTCGCGGTGTGCCGTTAAGTTGTACAGTATTAGGAGACCAACAAGGTCAGAAGACTCTGCAGAGTCTAACGATCCCATAGTGATGTCAAACAGGTCGTTATTGTTTTTTATCCATTGGTCCCCATTGTGAACGAGTACCGATTTCTTTGCGCTGAGGATTATATCCATTTCTTCCTTTGTTCGAAGGATATATTTATGACTGCCCTGGACTTCGCTGCTGTGTTCTCTAATATATATATATATATATATATATATATATATATATATATATATATATATATATATATATATATATATATATCCTGTCTAAGCCAGTGCTCTGGATTAGGACCTCACCGCGACGGGAAACACGGAAAGCAACAGTCTAATGATGGGAGGATTCCGAAGGTCCTTCTGTGCGGGTAAATACCCACCAGCAATTACATAGGAGGACGAACACTTATACGCATCTAGAACGTCTGCCCAAGTGACCTGATGGTGATTGACAGGTAGGAAGACGTTGCCAACGATCGCTTATGCAAGAGACGCGATTTACACCGAGTTGCTGAACCGAGGAGAGAAGAAACGGAAACTTGCCGCCGAGGTGAATTGTGCCGAAGGAAAAAAAAAACAACACAACGACATTAGAAAAATTGTCTTCACATGCATACGTTGCTGTCGTGACTGTCACTTCTGTGTGGGACCGTATAGACATAAAAGATGCTGTCCCAGCTGAAGCATCATTATTTTTTTTCACTTTATGATGAAGGAACTCTGCTATCCAATGAGAACCTTCTTTGTCTCTAATTAGACTTTAAATGTCAAAGGCCATCCCCTTCTCGATTTTCCCCTCGCACTGAACTTGATCCAAGTATTTTTATTATAGCCTGTAAAGTTTCAAAGTATATAAAAATCTTAAACCTAAGATGGCCACTGGTTGAAATAAGTAAAAGTAAGAGGTAAAATGTATGGTAACAACTAACACTACACATAGTGAAAAAACTGCATCCGTACCCACAACTTTCCCACCCAACAGCCCCGAGAATAAATCGAAACAGTTACGCCTACCAAAATAACTGTTAGAATAATGCATAAAACACCCAGAATGCATAAAAAAATAGTCAATCAAAAACGCAACGTATATAGCCTGACGAATACATTTAGCATGAAACAGATTGTCGCTCCTGAGTGTTGGCATCAATGCTTACATATACATATGCTTTATCCCTAATATTGTGCACTTTTACCTATATATATATATATATATATATATATATATTAAGAAATGGACAAAGTCCGACAATTTATTTATTAAAGACATTTTTTATGTTTAACGTTCTTTTTTATAGATACAAGTATTTAAGTAAATGCTCTGTTTATAATAAACAGTATTAAATAACATTTACCGGCCTGAA